AAATTTTTTTTTTGTCAATATATTATATTTTGAGGGAGTTACATATCTGTCCACTGTAGTGGACACCATGAATCAAACGTATAAAAAGTAAATCAATAGAACTTAATGGGTGGTCTTAAAAAACACGTCTTTAAAATATTTACTACGTGAAAATGGTATGAATACACATAAGAACATTCAATAACAACAAGCTATGTCATGACGGCACAGAAATGTGAAGTGTAACAAACAAAACGTAAGAGTGTGTGTCTATGGGCCAGGGGTGTGTGGGGCTGTGTGGGGCAGTGTGTGTGGGGGGAGGGAGGCACCCTGCTATTCATACACATGTAAGCACAAATACAAACACACACAAGCACACACACTCGAACACAATCATGCACACATATATCTGTACTCATATAGTATACATGTATACATTGTATATGACCTAATAAATAAATATAGACTGTAAGCATTGAAATAAATGATAAAATCTGAAGACCATTTAATATTTCTGTTCAATAAAACCATTCAAGTGTAAATTATATCATAATTTTAATAAAACATACAAAATAAGGCAGAATCTACAGATAGGCCCATAGGCAGAATTGTACCCTTTAGTGCATGACGTCCACTGTAGTGGGCTGATATATTTTCTGTCTGTCACAGAAAAAAATGTACAAGAAAAATATTGTTAAAATCTGGGTGAAACTATTTCTGACATCCTATTTAACCGAAAAATATTTTTTTTGTAGCTGTCTGGTTTTCTGAGAATAAAATTATTTAACACTTATTGCCGAGGTACATGGTGCATCCCCTTTTCCTGCCGCCATTTTGAATATATTATGTAATATCTCAAAACAAAAAAATCGATAAAAAGACAACAATTAAATGGAATCGTTGACAACACTTTGGTGGTTCGCCAGTTGGTGGTTGGAACATGATGCTACATCTTAAATGGTTCAAAATGGCTTCCAAATAGCTGTCCACTGTAGTGACCACGATGCATCAGAGGGTTAATGTATTCGAATGCACGATCGCTTTTTACTTTCACTTTCTAGATTTGCGATCATACGTGCTCTGTGTAAACTACAGCGGCAGTACTTAACACACATTTTACAAGATCAGATGCTTGTCAGTGGTGCTCAGGATCTGTAAATCATTCGCCATCATCCTCAGTCATCTCTCCTTACTCTGTTTATGTGGTAAGTGAAATCTTATGTCCTGTAACAGGCTACCGCTAGCAAGCAGCTAACCATGTCCCTTTAGTGGCTCGCGTTATTTTATTAGAACGCGCGTTATTTGTTTTCCGTGCCTTTCTGAATACAGACACCAACTTATCCCCGCACATCACATCCGCTGCACAGCCTGTAACATAACATTTATTTCCATGATCTGCCATGAGAAGGAGGAAACAATGGTGTTTGAGGCTCACAGTAAGTCATTTCCATGTACAGAACTGTTATTATTCAACTATGCCAAGGTAAATACAGTTTTCCATTCTATGGCACCTTTAACAGTTTTTAGTTATTATACATTTATAAATTATAATAATGTTTCAAAATGTTATAAAAATGTTTTTACAGTATTTCTGACCAAATAAACACATGAATATAATTTATGTTGTCTACAATGCTAAACATCCAACAGGTTCTACAAGGGGTAAAATGTAAAATGAGACTGATTTTAAAATGTTCCATTAATTACTGGTAAATCCCACACCGTGGGTCCAGTCATTAACAAACAATTCACAAGACACGCATACACAAATGCGGACTGTATGACACTGGGTGTGCAGTGACATTTAATTTGCTGGACTGAATTCAAAGGAATTCAAAATCACCATGGCAACCTTTGCTCGTAATAATGCTTTAGTGATAAAGATTGCACGTGGTTGTGACTGAATCAAAACAAGATGACAACAAGTGAAAGATTCAAAAGAAGGCCAACTTATAATTAAGAGTTTTACCACTTTAATCAAAAATCAAAGACCATGCAAGCTGGAATAACAGTTGGACACATGAGTCTGGAGTTTTTATGATGACAAAATCAATTACATTAAACATGGGAACACTGATGTTTGATTACCATACTCAGTTACACTTTATTTTAAGGTCAAATTCTTGCCATTAACAAACCATTAACTGCGACTTTTGCCTCAATAAACTCCTAATTTGCTGCTTATTAATAGTTAGTAAGGTACTTGTTAAGTTTAGGATCAGGGATGTAGAATATGGTCAAATATGTGCTTTAAATAGCCAATATGTTAATAATAGGCATGATAATAAGCAACTAGTCAATAGTGAGAATTGGTCCTATACTAAAGTGCTGCCCCATACTCATATACCATAGTAAATAAGTCCACATAAGTCCACAAAACCTTGGTATTACCATGGTACTGTATAGTAAAATACTATAGTATTTATTTTCAAGGCAAAATGGAAAACAAAATATTAAATTAGAGGAAAAAGTAAGGATTCTATTGGCTGAATAAAATAGATGACATAAAAGAGGAAGGGCCACTTACAGTCCGTAGGCAGAGTTTAAATCCAAGCTGGTGATTTGTTGTGGCGGTTCTCCATCAACCCATAATAACTGAACCACCAGCTCCGCCTGGTAGCCAGGAGGCATTCGGATCATACGATCTTTAACCCTGTGATGAGAGTATTCAGATTCAGTACATGTGGAATCTATTTTGACTGTTACACTTTATTGACCTAATACTTTCTATGTAGAATTATCTAGTAAGCAAGTTAATCTTATCAAGTCCTACATAGGAAACCATAAATATTGAGCAATTGCTGCATAGTCTCACTTGAGGCAAGGGATGCTATCCCGCACACTGTCCGGCGTGTTGCTGCGGGGACTTGGAGGCTGAGGTTGGGGCGAGAGACCGCTGGGGTCCGAAAAACATGGAGTGTTCTCTGTATCTGACGGAGAGATGACGTCCTCCATCTCACACTGCAGTCGCACTTCTAGGGACTACACACACAAATGCAACTTAAAGCTAATCCATCAAATCTACAGCATGTACTCAAACTCTTAAAGGTTTGCCTTAAAAGAACAGTTCACTCAAAATGAGTTTCTTTCTTCTGCTGAACACAAAAGACAAAAGCGTTTTTTTGTCCATTCAATAAAAGTCAATGGCATTCAATGTTGTTTTTGACCCCATTGATCTTTATTGTATGGACAAAACATTCTTTAAAATATCTTCTTTTGTGTTACACAGAAGGCCATAGAGGTTTGGAACAACATGCAAGTAAGAAATGTTGATTGGATTTTTGGGTGAACTATCACTTTAAGAGCACACTCACAGTGATGGTGGTGTTGGCGTCATGTTTGCTGAAGCGGTACAGAATGACGTGGGCGCTGATGCCGACTACACAAAAGATACGGCTCTGCGGGCACCAGCTGATCATCTGAATGGCGTAGGGGTCTTCCTCCACAAGCTCAGCGCTGCGTCCCACATCTCCACTCTTAGGCTTCTCAAACACCTTTGACGTCTTGAGCTTATACAACATCTGCAGTGTGACTGACAGAGATGGAGGTTATCACCACATCCACAAGCTCAGCGCTGCGCCCCACACCTCCACTCTTAGGCTTCTCAAACACCTTTGACGTCTTGAGCTTATACAACATCTGCAGTGTGACTGACAGAGATGGAGGTTATCACCACATCACATCGTATTACATACTGAATGTGACGCACAAGGTGTTTAAACAGAAGCAGTGCTTTAAAGTAAATATTCTGTGTTTAGTACAAGTTAAGCTCAATCAAAAGCACTTAATAGTAGCATAATGATGACTACCATAAAGATTAGTGTCTACTTTACGAAAAAAAAAACTGACATGGAAGAAAAGTGCGGAGCCCCGCACATGACATGCAAGAAAAAATAAATAAATCGTGCGCACGATTTACTAATTTGTTCCCTCGATGTACTAAAACGTGCACACGATTTATATTTCGTTCCCTCGATTCACACAATTTACTAATTCGTTCTCTCGATTTATAAATCGTGTGCACAATTTAGCAAATCGAGGGAACGAAATAGTCAATCGTGCACACGATTTATAAATCGAGAGAACGAATTAGTAAATCGTGCGCACAATTTATAAATCGAGGGAACGAAATAGTCAATCGTGCACACGATTTAGCCTACTATTTTTTGCCTGCATGCCATGTGCGGGGCTCCGTAGAAAAGAAATTGTTGTATGAAGATGTTATTTTTTTATTTTATTTTTTTATTTTTTTATTTTTTTGTGCACAAAAAGTATTCTTGTAGCTTCATAAAATTACAGTTGAACCATAGATGCCACATAGACAATTTTAACGATGTTCTTACTACCTTTCTGGGCCTTGAACGTGTCAGTTGGGTTGCTCGTTCCCTCGATTCACACAATTTACTAATTCGTTCTCTCGATTTATAAATCGTGTGCACAATTTAGCAAATCGAGGGAACGAATTAGTAAATCGTGCGCACAATTTATAAATCGAGGGAACGAAATAGTCAATCGTGCACACGATTTAGCCTACTATTTTTTGCCTGCATGCCATGTGCGGGGCTCCGTAGAAAAGAAATTGTTGTGTGAAGATGTTATTTTTTTATTTTATTTTTTTATTTTTTTGTGCACAAAAAGTATTCTTGTAGCTTCATAAAATTACAGTTGAACCATAGATGCCACATAGACAATTTTAACGATGTTCTTACTACCTTTCTGGGCCTTGAACGTGTCAGTTGGGTTGCTGTCTATGCAGGGTCAGAAAGCTCCCAGATTTAATCAAAAATATCTTAATTTGTGTTCCGAAGATGAACAAAGGTCTTACAGGTTTGGAACGATACGAGAGTGAGTAATTAATGACAATTTTTATTTTTTGGTGAACTATCCCTTTAAAGCCCAAGACTGATAACTGTAACAATAAAGTTTTAATAATTGTTTGAATTCTATAAGAATAACTGACATCATCAGAGAAAAGACTCCACTCCAGAGTGGAAGCAATTTTTCAGATTTTGATTAAAACTACTAAAACAATGTTTATTTCTGTAGATTAACTTGCACAGATTAATTGTTCACCTCAATACTAGTGCTAACAAAGTAAATAGTTTCAGTTTTTGAGTTCATGTGGAATAAAAAGTTTTAACACAAGAATTCATGTACATGTTTTTATAAAATTATAAACTTCACATTTCTAATTTAAAATTCTCCATAATTGGCCCCATTTACTTCCACTGTAAGTTCCTCACCATTATTTAATAGCAAACAAGAAATTAATTGATTATCAACATTATGCCACAAATGCTGTCTGCTGAACTTAACTTGCACTGAACCTAAAGAGAAAGTAAAAATTTAAATCGCATCATATGACCCCTTTAAGTAATGCCCATGGTTGTGAAACCAGCACATATTTGGTATTTGGATGTCCATTTTGGTCATATATTGTTTGGTTTGAGCTGTAAAGAATGAAATGAGAAATGAGGAATCATATGTCAAAGCATCAAGGGAGGTGGTTCTTCTAAATCAAGGCAGCAGTAAGAAAAAGTGAGACGGAAACAGCATGAGGCTGAAAGGGGGGAACATGCTTGTCAAAGCGAAGACACTTACTCGCCGTGGCATCCCAAAACTTTATTGATCCGTCTGCATGTCTAAGGGGGACAACAAAGAGGAAGGACAAAGAGCGATCGTATGAGCCAATGAGTGTGTGTGTTAAACCGCTTAAGAGAAAGCAAGCAATGCCAGCTATGGAAACAGGAGGGAAAAAGAGGCAGAGAGAACAACACGCAGGGTCAATAGCGCTATTGAATTAAAGCAGAGAAGTGCGATACATTTACCAATGAGAGTCAAGTAGAAGGGCACATTTTAGACATCATTGACTTCAAGTGAAAACAAACGGAATCAATGCATGCTTCGGAACAAAAACAAAATCAATCCAGAGTTTTCAAGCAAATAAAAATACTATAAATGACCTCCACATGTGGGTGGAAATGTTCACTTTTTTGAGGCAGGGGCGTGAAACTATTTTAGGTAGGAAGCGCCACCTTGTGTAGGCCGTTGTTTTTTTTCCTTTGTTTTACCTGCACAACAACCCTTCTAAAGCTACTAAAGTTCAAGATAAACTTTATGCTTTCAAAATTGAGGTGCAAGAAAAGCAAGCACATTGTTTTACTAATTTAATTCTACTAATTTCACACATACTGTAGGAAGCATTTTACAAATTTTCATAAGAAGCCTTTAGATTACATAAACATATGACATCATAACAACATCATGTGACATGGTGTAAATGATACTGTGTTGTTCACGACAAAAGTCTGTCTAGGATGCTTGTATGTTGGACATTGTTGGTACAGTAGATACATGAAATAGACTAGAGAAAGTGTGGAAAGTAAGTTTAAAAGTTAGTATAAGAGAGTTTATTTTGTAAAAGCCGTCAGGGTCAAAGGCGCCCATATTTAAAGAAACACCCATTAATGTATTATATCTAAAAATCATTCAGTGGAGATTTGGCAACAAGTGTGAAATTCAGTTTTTACTCCCAATATTATTCCTTGTACCTGTCAATACTGCTGTGAGCGACAATGTGATAAATGCACAAGCATCCAAGTGAGAAGTGTGTTGCTCTGGGACAGCTGAGACATCCACATATTCAGTTTCAGACAAAAAAGCACACATTTTACTCAACTTGATGCTTATGTGAAATGCTAAAAAAGCTTATTCTTCCAATGCCTAATAACCAAATTCATGTAAATATAATATGTAATAAACAGAAAACTATTTGAACATGTTTTGTTAAATAATATAAACACTATAGTTAAAAATCTCTAATAAATGCTGTTCTTTCGAATTTTCTATTCATCAGATAATCATGAACAAAATATTTAAAAAAAAATAGTTTTCCACAAAAAACATTAACTGTTTCTTTAGCACCAAATCAGTATATTAGAATGAATTCTGAATGATCATGTGATATTAACCCATTTAATCTACAATAGTGACCGTAAAAAGGTTTTCATTTAAAATCCAATTGCAGTTGCTAGTGAAAATTACACTAAAATGTTGCAATGACAAAATATTGCACTAAATTACAAATTCAAATGTTACAAAAAATGTTCAGTGTTGATGTTGTAATACTGGTAGCACTAATATAAAAATTTGATGTTATATTTTACAAACAAGTAACAATTTTGAAATGCGTTGATGGTTGAATTTGTTTGTTTTTAATCTCAGTGTTCCTATCAATGTTGCATAAGGTTTTTTTATGCATAATAATAACCCTAGAATGTGATCAAACAGTTTAAAATAGCTGGGCTAAGATATATAACAATTTTTATGACTGCAGAAATATGTTAATTCAGTACTCACCTTATCCCACCGGTCACAATTGTGACCAACCATAAAACACAATTTTTCACACACTTTTCCAAAACAATTTCAAAAAATAATTATTGATTATTTCAAAGGGTTACTAATGACACATCATTTGGATATTTTCATGTCTGGGAAATATTTGGGATTAAATGGGTTAAGACTAAAATAATGGCCTAAAATTCAGCTTTGCCGTCACAGGAACAAATTACTTTTTAAAATATATTAAAATAGAAAACAGTTACTTTAAAGTGTAATAAAACTTCACAGTATGACTGTTTTACTTATTTTTTTTACTGTTTTTGACCTTAGTACGTTTTTGAACCTCTTTCAAAAACATTTAAAAATTTGACCAACCCCAAACTTGAACATGAACCTGAAGTGTATTCTCAGCTGCAACTTAAGCATGTAATACCGTAAAAAAATTATAAAAACATTCAGCCTTGTTTCTGAGCTTTTAGCAACAACTTACAACTTACCCTGTGATGATAATCTCTGGATATGTCTGCGAACCCACCATCCATGTGCCACCACCGACCGGCCACTCCTGAACACAAACACATAAACACATAAAAAGTGTTTCTAAAACACCTCAACTGCCATGCAAAATAGATGACAAGTTTCACTAAGCATTTCAAATGAAAGGCTGAAATTTGGGTCATCGAGAAACTCCAAAAATGTTTAGATTAGCTAAGAACTTTGACAAACCTTGTGGCTGTAGCCGGTCTTTTTGTGTTTAGCTCCTATGGAGTAAAGCACAGGTATGATGTCGGGGGGACAGTCGGCAAAGTAAGCCGTGCACGTGACTGGAGACTCATGGATGTCCATGGGGTAGGCGTTCTCAAAGATAGGAAAACTACAGGAGAGAGAGAGACTTCAAAATAAATAACAGGCATTTATGAAACACAGAAGATTTTGACTCTCAATTCTCATAAAATAGCCTATATACACACACATTCGTGACCGTACATCAACTGAAATCCGTATTTAAGTGCATTATGTTGCTACAGACGACCATAAACAGCATAAAGCAGGTGTCTCCAACCTTCCTGTAAGTGAGAGCAACCAGAAGCGATAAAAGTGCTAGAGGGCTACATGTTTGAAATACTTAAGAATGAGCATTATTATGATAAAAGAAACTGAGGCTATTTATAGAATGTGCTCTGTGGGCGACTCTAAGTGGGCTACCAGGTACTGATACCCACGAGTACTGTATTGATGCCGCTGGCCTACATTTACGCAATTGAACTACATTATCCATCAGAAGAATTAATAATAATTTAGAATGTAATCATAATAATAAATTGTAAGTGCTACTGTTATTTTTATTCTTAATAAATGTGCCTTTACCATATTGCTATTGCTGATATAAAAGTAATAAGGCTGTGTGTGATTTCACCACATTTTTGAGAGTGCCTGTATTAAATCATTGTAACATACATTGAAGCTTTGAGTGGCTTATTGCTTTTACTATATAAGCTTATTTAAATAAATAATGTTTTTAAAGAACATCAAACTAAACTAAAGTACACTTTAAAGTTCAAGTTAAATGGAATGTATGAATGACTGTCTGGTTCTGAGAGGGTTTGAGTACAGCAGTTTGTTTGTTCCTTCAGTGCGTCCTTGTGAAGAAATGGCCTTAAAGCAAAGAAAACATCTGATGTCAAACTGGCAAAGTCTCTATGGCAGGAGCAATACTTAAAAGAGTGGCAAACGGCCAGTTGGTGTGTGTGTGTGTGAGAGAAAGAGAGTGTGTCAGGCTGACCTTGGCTCTGGTTCTTAATAATGACTCATTTGATGGATGTTTATGAGTGACAAATCCAATGATATTTACTCTTAACAAATAAAGACACACATACACACTCTCAGATTTAAACCCTTTTCCACAAAGCATCTTCAAAAGTAACACACACACAGACACAAAATTTATTGGGTGTTGAGCGATGTTGCCTCTGGTGGAAGTACTAGTGTGAGGTGTTGTTGGAGTATATCACATTGAGTTACATCATTCAGCCACACACACACATGGCATAAAGCTGAAGAAGAGATTGCTCACTTGCTCTGGGTTAGATCGACCACAACAAAATCTTTCTCCAACAGAACCACCACCGCATATGGCTCCTGGACCTCTGTCAACACAAACACAACATCTCAACCAATAATCATCTATGAACTCAAGACAAAGTGAGCACAAAAACATAGATTTATGGATTTTACTTCATTTAAAGGAGAAGTTTGAAACTACAGCATTTGACCCCACTGACTTTCATTGTATGGACAAAATACACTGACATTTTTGAAGATTAATATATTATGAATATTTGTGTTGCACAGAAGAAAGTCTTACAGGTTTGGCATGGCATTACGGTGAATACATGATGACCAAATTTTCATTTTTGTGTGAAACATCTCTGTAATAGCCCTAATAGTCCTGACCAGCCCCAAAAAGTGTTTGTCTGTGTTTGTCTGACCAGTAGAAGATGAATTGAATGTTAAAAAAAAACCTGTCTTAAAACTCGTTATTTTTCTAATTGTCTTTATTCTGGTGGTGCAGAAATTACACACTTCAGCTTTAAGCTTTGTGAGGAAAACTGATGACAAGGTGACATCTTGAAACCAAGGGGACGAAGGCATTAATTATCTTCTCTGTGTTTGTGTGTAACATTTATGCTCTGAAAACACAGCAGAATCCATTATTCTCTTTCATGAAAACCGTACAGGTGATGAAGATGCAGGGCCATGTACTGTGCTGTATATGCACTGGTTAGAATGAACAAACAAGCAGAGAGTTGACAGGGAGAAAGGAAGATTACAATGGCTAACAATTGAAATCACTGCACATTTGCTGGATGTTTGATGTTGTATTTGGGCTCCTCAGGTTTCAGCCATGTTTGACCAAATCTTAGATTGTCTGATTCTGGTCTGATATCCTACATGGGTAACAAATTCTGTGCATGTGTGTACTTGTGCTTGACAGGGCTTTGTCTGTCTCTGCTTTTCTCAAGAGAAAAAGACAGATATAGCGATACACTCTTTCCCCTTGACTGAACAGAGCTGAAGCTGTCACTTCTCAAACCATTCAGAATCAGTTCCTATGTAGCATTTCACCTTACTGATGTCGGATTCGCAAATGACTTGTTCCTTTAGGTTGGATGTTTCAAAAGGTTTTGTGTAATTGATTCACAATGCATTTACAGTCATTCAAATGTACTGGTTTGGTATTATTTTTTACGTCTTTTATACTCACCAAGACTGAATTTATACAGTAAAAGAAAATATCTGTAATATTATGAAATATTAGAGTTTAAAAATAGCCGTTGCCTGTTTTAATATATTTTAAAATGTAATTTATTCCTGTAATGACAAAGCTGATTTTTCTTTATTTCTTATTACTATCAATACAGAAAACTGTTGCTTAATATTTTTCTGTAAACCGTGGTCTCCTTTTCAGGATTCACTGATGAATAGAAAGTTCAAAAGAAATATAAATATTCTATAACTTTATAAATGTATTTAATGACACCTTTGATCAATTTAATACCTCCTTAGTATTATTATTATTTTTTTTTTAACTTACAGACCCCACATTTTTTTTAACAGCACTTGATAAAATCATTGAATTGTAAGGAATAACAGGCTTCATAAAAACAGGCAGTAAACTTTAATTGTTTTGTGACAAGATAAAACAGCAGTAATGGATCTCGAGTGGAACTTGGACACATCTGTCGCAAGCAAATAGGAGGATTAAATTCATCCACAGCACTCAAGACTGCATTTCCCAAAATTCATCAGCTGTCTGTTTGGGATTTTTGTGTGTTCTCTTACCTGTTTCTGGAGGTCTTGTATTCGACCTTGAGAATGGGTTTACATGACTCTTTTCTACCATCTCTCTGAGTCTTACCTGAAAAAAAGAGACTATATGGTGAGTTCTCACTTTTTCACCTTTCACCTAATGTTTATGTCCAGAACTTTCTGATGAAGAAACCACTTTTCCCAATGTGAGCGTGTTCGTCTTTATTTAACCACTGAGCTGATCATTGAATTGTAAGGAATAACTTTCTGGGGGATAAAACAATAAGTTGAGGGACATGTTAGAGCCATAAAAAACCCAGCATTATCAAACTGGAACAAATATATCAAATTAAATGAAATACAAATACAACACCCTAAAAGTACTTAACTAAATAATTAATTTCAAAATAAGAGAGATTTCAAATGTAGAACAGGGATATCTTGGAACTCTACTTAGTGATGATTCAAATGAAATCAGTTGTTTTGAACTGAATCATTAAGAACTGTCTGAACGAATGAACTGATTCACTTCAATTAATCTCCTCTCCACTCTCTGTTAACATCAGTGATTGAGTCTACAATGAGAAGAAGAACAAAAACTTGATTTTACTCAATCCACCAAATCAACACTAATGATATGGAAGAGAGCAGGAGACAGAACTGATCTGTTCAGTACACTCACCGTTGAGATAAGGCGTCTCACAGAGCACTAGGAAGTCCACTATTGGATAGTCCATCTCTAACACTGTGATGGCTTTGCCATGCATGATGGTTAGGGTTGGTCTCCGTCCTGCCTTATCATATGAAAGACCCCCGGAGAAGACAACAAATGCTTCACTACTGGAAGACGGAAAATAAAAAGAGTGTTAACTGAAAACCATTGAATTTCTTTCTTTAACACGTCAAGAGCCAAAAGCTTATATTTTATTAGAAGGCAAGATTTATGCTTCGTTTTTACGTTGAACGTCCCCTCAATACGTTGAAAGTATTGTTTCAATTTAAAGTCTTTTTCACAACCCTGAAATACTCTCTATGCAAATAGGAAGAAACAAAAGGGGGACAACAATATTACAGCCAAGCTAATCTAAAATATCATTATAACTGAGGCGGCCACTCATGACCACTTCTTTGAACACAGCATTGGGGGAAAAGGCAAAAAAACAAGCAATCAAAAATGGACGTTTCTTCAAATTATGTTTTGCTGCTCATCTCCCAAGGAAAACAGGCTTTATAAAAATAGGCAGTAAACTTTAATTGTTTTGTGACAAGATAAAACAGCAGTAATGGTCTAGAAGTTAAGTAAGACTGACAAAACCTCCCTTTTGGGACATTTGAAGACGTATTTTTTGTGGAAACGATTCATAAATAAAGGCAATAATTTTTTTTAAATTCTACAAATGCAAAAAATGCTAATTTTAAAGGTTCTTTTGGGTGTGGGTTGGGGTTAGTCTGGTATAAATATAAATAGCTATATATAAAACAATAAAAGGCTATGGCATGTCCAAATTTAGGGTATAAGGATGATATACCAGCAAAAACATTTTTTACCACATGGTAATGAGGCCTTAATGCCTTTTTTATGTCCAAGCCTGTCAATTTCTTTATAAAACATTAAAAATACAATTCATACAGAGCATGACTAGAATACATTCAATTCATAATAAACATGTTTAAACCTTTCTTAATTAAAAGTAATTTTGACATTTTTGAGAGGCTTAAAGTAAAAATGTCAAAAATGTGGCACCAATTCTCACTGTTAACTAGTTGCTTGTTGGCATGCATAGCATATTGACTGTTTATTAGTACTTTTAGTATTAGTATATTAATGCCTTATTCTGCATGACCATATTTTACATCCCTTAATCTCACCCCTAGTTTTACTAGTTTTGCACTAATTATTATTAATATGTGAAAAAGACCATACATACAGTATGTGTGTACCCACCATGAGGGAAGGTGACTTGAAAAGGTTTGGCGGTGTTTCTCAGATTCCACATGCTCAGACTGCCGTCAGAATGACTGCACATGAACTGTCGCCCCTCGTGATGCCAGCTTACTGAGTGAATGGCCTGACAGAGAAACACCAGAAGAGAAGCCATCAGGAATACATCAATCACCTGTATTATAATGTTGGATCAGAGTAAGATTTTCTGTATATAAACTAGATATACTATCAATGATAGATAGATAGATGGATAGATAGATGGATAGATAGATAGATAGATAGATAGATAGATAGACTGGAGTAATGGCTTCTGAAAATGCAGCTTTGCCATCACTAATAAATTACATTTGAATTATACATATATATTCTAAATTGTAATAAAATGTCACACTATTGCTGTTTTTACTGTATTTTTTAATAAATGCAAATTTGGTGAACAAAAAACAAACAAACAAGCAAGAGGGAGGAAGACAGAGAAGTAACATTAAAAAAGAGAAAGAGAAAAAAAGAAATTCAGAGATGCTGCCTGTCACATGTGTGTATCGTCAATTTAGCTCCGGAAATTAGAGAAATCAGAGAACTGAAGACTAATAGTTCCTGCTTGTGAAAGTCTCTCTCCCTCTCTCTTCCCCTCTCTCTCTCTCTCTCTCAGACCTTCATCCATCTGAGAGTCAATAATCCATATCAGCAATTACTCCACCATCAAAGCAACCTGATCTCCACTCATCTACTCACTAATGTCACACAGTAAATAATAACTGAAATGATATCAGCGTCAGATTTATTTGATGTTTGTTAGGAGTGTGTATGAAAGTTTTTGATGCTGATGTTCTATATTATTCAAAGACATAACAAAAATTGAATCTAAATAGTCATGATAGTGATAATATCATGATAGTGGTAGTTCTGTGTTCAGTCTATGTGTAGAAATGAATGAATGAGATTTTTGTACCTTTCCAAATCTATTCCTATTTCTTTCAACACGAACAAACACATCCCTTTGTGTCGTGCTTCTCATTCCATCCTGTCTTTTTGCTCCCAGTAACTCTCCTCTTCCCTCACTCTCTCGTTCAAAGTCCTTTCTATTACATTACATTACACTGAAGACTAATAGTTCCTGCTTGTGAAAGTCTCTCTCCCTCTCTCTTCCCCTCTCTCTCTCTCTCTCTCAGACCTTCATCCATCTGAGAGTCAATAATCCGATATCAGCAATTACTCCACCATCAAAGCAGCCTGATCTCCACTCATCTACTCACTAATGTCACACAGTAAATAATAACTGAAATGATATCAGCGTCAGATTTATTTGATGTTTGTTAGGAGTGTGTATGAAAGTTTTTGATGCTGATGTTCTATATTATTCAAAGACATACCAAAAATTGAATCTAAATAGTCATGATAGTGATAATATCATGATAGTGGTAGTTCTGTGTTCAGTCTATGTGTAGAAATGAATGAATGAGATTTTTGTACCTTTCCAAATCTATTCCTATTTCTTTCAACACGAACAAACACATCCCTTTCTGTCGTGCTTCTCATTCCATCCTGTCTTTTTGCTCCCAGTAACTCTCCTCTTCCCTCACTCTCTCGTTCAAAGGCCTTTCTATTACATTACATTACATTACATTTAGATTTAGCAGCAGACCCCTAGACATTTCCATTTACCCACTCTGACAAACGCTTGCCGAGCGACGGTGCCTCTGTACAGGCGGTGCTGACAGATGATCAGAGGGCGCCGTCAACGAATTGAAGCACGCAGTAAAGGGTTGGAAGGAGAAAAGGGTGAGATTTTGGGAGGTTTTATGCTTGCTGCTGTGAGCCAAGGGGCGCTGTGATTGAAACATGTTTTGGAAGGATGAATGAGAGCAGCTGGCTGCAGGAGGCAGTTCCTCTTTCAGAAGAAAGATAAAGTTGTGTGCCAAGCAGTGATTATGCTAAACAGATCCACATGGCACAAGGAGGGAAATTAAATCAGAAAAGTGACTTGTGCTCAGTATTGTTGTAAATCAGCAACAGTGTGGAAAAAAATGAGCAGATAAGCCAAGTGTTTAGTGCCAAAAGCAAATTTACTTGGACAATGGAGAGCGAGAAAGACGTCATTTTTTATTTATATAGCCTAGTTTTTTTTTTGTTTTTCTTTCTTTCTCCAATTTTGGCTGAGGGCTGGATTATAACAAGATGATAAACTGGAGCTTTCGGGTCACAAATGCGTACACATACATAGAGACTGTGCACCCACACAGACAAAGAAATAACATGAAAATAAAATATGTCTGTCTGTATTTTCATACATAATCACTTCACAAAATTAAAATTAATGCACTTTATGTAAAATATATTCATTTTATATATAATGTATATATATGTATGT